ATCCCATCCCATCCCATCCCATCCCATCCCATCCCACCCTATCCCATCCCATCGATTTACACCCTTGCTTAAGGTCTCTCCAGAGTAGCTGGAAAAGCAAAGGGTTCAGGACATTGTGATGCAGAGAGAGGGTCCATTCTGACCATATTCGTCTCATAGTTGTATTAATTTGCCTGAATTGACAAATTAGCGCAACGCAAAGCAAAAGTTAGAAGAATAAAACAACTTTAAGCGATTTTAAAAAAGAGGGAAATCAGATGCTTGATGGAATTTTTTATTTAAAAAAAATTTCCCTATTTATCTTACTATCTTTTTACAGTCTTATATTTAAATATGTATTACCAGTTGCCATGGAGTTGATTCTGACTCATGGCGATCCCATGTGCGTCAGAGTAGAACTGTGCTCCATAGGGTTTTCAATGGCTGATATTTTGAAAGTAGACTGCCAAGCCTTTCTTCCAATAAATATGTATACATATACAAATAATTGCAGTAATATACCTGCCTGGCAAACAATTCCAACACTACAGAAGAGTGCATTATGAAAAAGAAACAACTTGAACTTTTAAAATTGAACTGACTAGTTAATTTCATTAACTGGTCAAGTCATTTGAATTGTGTCCTCTGAGTTATGGTAAAGCTGGGTTGAAATAATCATAGTGTTTATAGTAGCTTGTATTTCTTGCTTTAACCTTGGGAATTTTTCCAGGTCATGAGAAGTATCACATATGTCCTTCCTCCCTACTTTCTTTTTCTATGTATTTGTTTGCTTTTTCTGAGTGGTCTCCAAACGTTTTAAATCATTCACCTTTAATTGTAAAAAAAAAAAAAAATGCACTCCTCCAAAATTTGTATATATATATACACAAACAGTACTGTATTGATACATTATGTGCATCACAAAACATACAAAGAAAACATAAGTGAATGAGATTTAAAAAAGAATCTATAGATGCATGTTAATATTTTCTCCGCATACCCCAGGGGGGTTTCTTGTACATTATCAGGTTGTAATCATTCTATTTTGGAGACTTAGATTTATACTATGGAGTCCCTGGGTGGTGCAAAAGGTTAATGCACTCGGCTGCTAACCAAAAGGTTGGAGGTTCGAGTCCACCCAGAGACACCTCAGAAGAAAAGCCTGGCAATCTACTTCTGAAAAATCAGCCCTTGAAAACCGTATGGAGCACAGTTCCACGCTGGTACACATGAGGTCGCCATGAGTCAGAATCCACTCCATGGAAACTGGTTTTAAACTAGATGTATTTGCATGAAAAAATCTCTAAGACATGCTGAGTAAAGAAAGCAAGCCGAAAAGCAGTATATGTAGAATGATCTCATCGCCGTAAAAATTATACTGAATATA